TATTATCGTCTCGACTCCACCCCCACCACTATATAACACTAAAATATCGATACACGGATTACACTTCAGGGTCCAAAGGGGGGGTTCTCCCGGACGGAAGTCTAAAAGCATTTAGAAAGCAGAACTTGTGGTCCTCTCCCCTCTTTGTCCGCAGTCAGAGTTACAAGCTTATATGGTCAAAGAAAAAAAAATAATAAAGAAAACGTATAAAATAACAATAGAAAAAGTAATACTTCTGGGAGAGGCGCCGCTGCGGCTCCGCGGAGCTTTCGTTCTTCTTATATATTTTTTTAAATGGAGTTTCCCTTCCGCCACGTGAGTACCGCCTTTTTGGCCAAGAGTTTAGCCGCGTCCTGGGGGAGCCGCCCTGGCTGCCGGTCATGGCCCCCGGGCGGGGCTCCGTAGTTCTGCAAGCGGCCGGGACCCAAGGGACGTGGTCCGGGAAGGTCCGCTAGAGTCGCCTTCTGGCTTCTGGTCCCTCTGGAGGCGGCGGCAGCGGCGGGCCCCAGGACCCTGGTGAGCAGGAGGCTCTGTTTAGCATTTGATCTTGGAGGTTTTGAGCTCCTTCACCTGTGAGTGCAGCGTCTTGTGGACAGCGAGAGTCCTGGACTGGCAGAAGCCCTTCCCGCACTCTTGACACTTGAAAGGCTTTTCTTTGGAGTGAATATATCTGAGGACACAAACAGACAGGGAATTAACTAATCCTTGCAACATGATGCGATGTTAGAAACAGTTGCCCAAGATCCCCTCCCCCAACGGTGAGGTGCTTGCCCTCAAAAGAAAGGGGGGGAGGGGCCTGCGGGGTACCTAGAGTGGAGCTGGCAAAATGCTGTTTGCGGATGGAGCAGGGAGGTGGGAGAGAACACCCGCATGCCCTCCTTATAAGGCCGGGGTCAGCGCTGAAGGTGAGTGAGGGGACCTGCAGCCGGAGCTGCACTGTCCCAGAGGGGACCCACCAGCCACATGTGGTTATTAAAATAGAAATTAAACAAAACGTAAAAGTTAGTCTGTCAGTCACACTCCTTGCCCATTCCAAATGCTGAGTTGTCACATGCATGGAGTGTCACTCTCCACTGTAGCAGGGAGTTGCACTGGACAGCACTGAGGATGGAGGGAGGGGTAAGAAGTCCTGCATCCTTGTCCTTGTCTGGAGCTCAGGGAGACCTGACTTAATCTCCCGTCCTATGTATCCCCTGTTCTCTCCCCCCATGCTGCTCCGAAAACTGATCCCTGGCTTCCTTCGCTATTTTAGGGAATTCCCAAAAGCTGGGGAGCCCCTGGGGGGTGGGGTGTCTCCAGAACCTCCTCGTTAGGGAGGAGGATGGTGAGGACAGAGGCAGACAGGCAGTTCTATTCTGGGGCCACCCACGGTGCCGCACCTGTGGTCTCTGAGGTGGTCTTGCCTCCGGAAGGCTTTGTGGCAGATGTCACAGGTGTAGGGCCGCTCGTCCGTGTGCGTCCGCTCGTGGATAAGGAGGTTGTAGGACTTGGTGAAGTGGCGGCCACAGAACTTGCAGACAAACTCCTTCTTGGTCTTGGAGGGCAGGCGTCCTCTCGTGGGTTTCTTTTCTGGGGACAGCTTGGTCACATCCAGGAGGGCGCCCAGCCCACCAGCAGGGGAGCCAGGACCCTCCCCACGGCCAAGCTTGGATGGATCTTCTTGCGTGGCGGCCAAGGCCAGGTTGGCAAAATCAAAGCGGGGCTTGGTCTTGAGCGCCACGGGGCCGCCGCCTCCAGCGGTGATCTCTGGCTTGGGCTGGATGACGTGGGGGAACCAGGGAAAGGCTGGCAGCTGGAAGCGTGCATCCACCAGGTTGGACACGGCTCCTGGCACTTTGGAAAAAGAGGAGCGCGGCAAGTGCATGGCCGGGTAGCCCAGCGTCCACTGGTGCAGGTGCACGGCGTGCAGCGCGCTGAAGCCGTACAGGTTGGGCAGGTGGTCCGAGGGCACCGTGGGCAGGCCGTTTACCGCCTGGAGAAAGGAGTAGTTGGTGAGCTGCAGGGAGGGGTGGATGGGCACTGGTGCGGGCAAGGTTTTGCTGCCCATTGTGGTCGTGTCTGTGGGTTCTCAATCTGGGTCTGCAAAGAGAAGAAGGGAGTGGGGAGAGGACAAGTTCAGGGTAAAGCATCCTCCTGAATTCCAGCCCAGCTGTTTCCTTCCTGTCCTCCAGTGCAGGAGCCTGGAGTCTAAGACACCACCCAGGGAACCCACTGATCTCAAAGAAGAAAAAGAAGAAGGCAGGAACCCACTGTGATCCAAGGGCTCCCTCCAAATGGCCTCTGGCACAGATGCACAATTTGATAGAGGAACCAGCAAAAAAGTAAATCCAACGCAATGCAACCGACTTAAAGGAAGGAGTGTGGCTTACATGTTTCTAAGAAAGGCAGAAACACGGGGAAACTGGCATGCAGGAACTTCCATCCACGCAAGCCCGAGTCAACACAAAAGTATACTCTCCTGCAAAGATAACAGGAACCCCTGGAAACACACTTACATACTCACGTGCAAATAAACACAGAAACACACAGGGACAGACCCACATATTACGAAGCAGAGTTGACAACAAGGTGCAAAGATGAAGTAGGAAGAGCAGTGTCCTACAAAGTGCAGGGAGCCACACACAAATACGAGCGGCATCATTCCGTACTCAGGAAGAGCCTTCTAGACAGACAGCACCCGTCCAGGCTCACACAAACCCATGCATTTCCCCGCTCCTGTGCATGGCGGTCTACCAGCTGACCTTCAGTTTGGCCTCCAGAAGCCATCTGCTCTTTCTCCTCAAAACTCTCAACGTTGACCACAGATTTGCTTTTCGGACTCACTGTGAATGAGCCCTGTTGACAACCCCCTCTCTGAAGCTGTTTGTGGACTGATGCCCTTGGGGGTCACCTTCCTTTCAGGGAGCACACTGACACCCATCTTCATGAACTCAGTCAAACATCTGCAGTTGCACACAAGGGGACTTAGGCGCCCTCCCTACCCCATAAAAAGGGGGGCAGGGGCTTTGGAGTTTCTTGGGGGGTGTTTGTGTGTGTGGTGAGCCCTGGACAGGTGGGTATGCCCGAGGGCAAGAAAGAGCATGGAGGCCCGGCACCACTGCTGGGCTCCAGCCACCGTCCAGCTGCAAGGCCAGAGGGAAGTCATGCGGAAGTGACCAACAGGCTGGCATCTCCTGGCCTCTTGGGTCAGGGTCTCCAGTCTCCACGGACAGGGCTGTGCTCTGCAGAGAGGCCTGTATCTCTGTCTTTCCCAGACACTCAGGTCTGTCTCACGGAGGCAAAAACAAGAGGAACGAAAGTGAAAAGCGCACCCTCTCGGAGCTGAACTCCCTCCAGGACACTCAAGTGCTGACCGCCCTCTCCTCTAGGCTCTGCACTGAGGGCTACTCAGGAAGTCCTTGTGGGGCAGGGAGCTTGGGACACCCTTCTCCTTTGGCCCCCTCCCCCCCCCAGTCCTCTGAGGCCCACTTCCTTTACCCCTTCTTCCCCCTCTCCTCCTCCTCAGATCTCTCCTTCCCTGGGTACAGATCTCTGCTCTGCTTCCCCCTTCACCGCACAGGCTGACACCTATCCAGGCAGGGTGGGCGCCTGGCTCCCCTCAGCCCAGGCCCAGACTCAGCTGCCTTTCTTTGCAGCAAAGCCTTTAAGGAGAAGAAAGTGGCGCACTCGCTGGCGGTGGCGGGAAGAGCGAGGACAATCTGGACCCCGGAACCTTGTCCCCTGGAGGGTCACTCGCTGTGTGTTCGGCCAAAAGGACAGAAGCTCTGCTGGGGGTGGGAGTGGGGGGTTTTCAAAACTCCCTGCGGCGAAGATGTGCGTGCTCGGGTTCCCTTGGCAGTTGAATGAAAACCTGGTCTGACCGCAGCAATTAATTCAGCCTCCGGGCTAGGAGAGGCTCAGATCTGCCGCGGCCGAGCCTCCAGAACGCAGCGCTGGCGGCCGGCGGGCAGGGCCCTGGCCTCTGCCCCCATCTTCTCTGCTGCCCCAAGCGAAGGCACGTGGGGGACCAGCGGAGACGATCCTAGAACTTGGGACTCGGGGAAGCAACCTAGGAACCGGGCCAGAGGGAAAACAGGGGCCGTTTTGTGTTGGGAGGGAAGGAGGGAGGAGAAGGAGAAGGAGAAGGAGAAAACTCGCCAACTTCAAAGGTTGGCGAGGTGAGCGCTCTTTGATTTGCTGTCACCTCCTCCTCCCCCAGGAGCTGGAAATCAGATCGCTATCTCTGGCTCCCCGGGACCTGCCTCGGGCCCTCCGCTCCCTGGTCTCGGTGCTCGGCCTACCCGCGGCCAAGTGAGCGGCGGGACTCCGGCCGCACGCAGGTCCGAGCCCGCTCTGTGCCCGAGTGGGAGAACCCAAGCACCTGGCGTGCCCACCTGGCCCGTCCTCGCCCACCGCCAGGAGCGAAGACGCGGGCTCGGCTCGGCGGGCGGGCGGGCGGAGGGGCGCTTGCAGCCACCAGGGCTCCTGGAGCCAACCTTCCGGGCCCTCTGCCTGATCTTGTTTTCCCCAACACTCGGTTTATTTTCCTCCGCCGCGGGCACAGCCAGTTTCGTATTTTCTGCCCCATCCCGAGGACAGGGCTCCCCAGACTCTCGCCAACCGACTGTGACTTTCCCGGGGACGAAATTCGTTCGAAACGTGGCTCTTTGCACGAGTACCGAGAAGGGGCCGAATGCACGATCCGGTTTCTGGCGGTCAGCTAAGAGAAAAACACAGCTCACCCTGGCGCACCCGCCGGACAGGGTGAGCTCTGCTTGCCCTGACCCTGGAACCCCAGCGTGAACTCTTTAGATCATTCAGTCTGAGAGGGAACCCCTTTCCCCAGGCCCGGCATCCACTGCGCCAGGAGCCGGGGGCCTCCGGACCTCGGAGGTGCGGTTCAAGGTCCCCACTACACGCAGCAAATGCGTTTCGCCCTTGGAAGCCGGAGTCCCCGCGCGGTGGAGCGCCAATCCCAGGTCTGCAGCCAGCCCTCAGCCGGGCATTAATGGAGTGTGCAGAGTCTATTAAAGTGGTTTATTCGGGGCTAATTGAGCGTGTGCGAGTTAACTGCTTGCATTAATGAGGACGGAGCGAGCTCCACGAGCTTGCGACTGGAGGAGCCCAGCGGTAGCCCCAGAAAATCATCCTGGACATGGAATCCCCGAAACGAGTGACAGGCGGCCGAGCCGCGGGCGGGAGGATTGTCCGGCCCGGCTACTTTTGTTGAATTTTCCCACGGAATGAGATCAAACGAATCCTTCTGCTAGGCTGCCATTCGCCTCATTTAAACGCCCTCTGCGTCCTTAGCGATCTGCTCCCCAATCTTAATGAAACCACAATTACTTAGAGGAGCCTTAGGGTGGAACGTCTACCAGGGGTCTCCCTCCACCCGGATCCCCTGTCCCTGCCAACCCTTCTCTTCTCTACGAGGCTGCGAACCTGGGGAACGAACTAGCCTCGCACGTGGTTTCTGTTCCCAGGAGCCAGCACACAGCTCCTAGCCCGGTGAAATTTACCAAGTTGTGGCAACAAAGAAACTCCTGGCTGCTTTACACCCCTCCAGCCTACCCCGCGCTGCCGCTCCTGGGGGGGCTGCTGCAAAGGTGCTGCGTGTGGGTTTTCATTCTCATCCGAGACGTCTCTGGGGAGAAATGCGCTCAACAGGCCACCCCTCACCTCTTTCCCTCTTATCTCAGGCTCCCACCTCTCCCGAAAGCTGGGTTTGGGGACAGTGAGGGGAGCAAACGAATTCTTCCTTCCCAAACCCCAACCTGGAGACACCCGCCGCTCCATCGTGTTTCTGCCGGGTCGGCGGGGCGGTCTCCAGTTGGGAAGTGGTGCTCGCACCCCCAGCGCGCACCGGACAGTGGTGGGTTGCACTCCAGGCCTTGATCACTCAGAGCAATCATCCCCTAGAACACCCCAAGTCAGAGCGCCAGGGCGAGCCGGGTCAGGCACGGGGTCCTGCGCTCCCTGGTCGAGCCCCCCCTCAAACCTGAGCGCAACTACACAAAAGACAGATTCGCAAGAAGCGCGACCCCGCGAGGGGAATGCACCTGTCCCCGGGCGATGGCCGCGGCCGTGGCCATCCATCCACTCTCTTCCTTCTCCGCCAGCTAAGTTCAGGCTGAGCGAGGCGCCGCTCTCGGGAAGTTTGTGTCCGCTGAAGTTGCTGCATTTTCTTACAGGGACCCCCCCCACCCCAGACTGACTTCCCAAATCCGTGGACACCTCGCCCCGGATTTCACGGAGTCTGGCCCCGCTGGGGACAGTCGTGGAAGCCCGCCCTCTCATTCCCAGGAGGTCAGAGGCCGGGGACCCCCTGAGCCAGCACCCCCAACCACCCTGGGCTGCAGCGGCTCTCACTTTCGCCAAGTCCTGCAGCCTTCGTCTGGCCGGAGGAGCGCGCTTCGGGGATACTGAGAGAGAGGGGACACCAACGCGCAGTGACAGGCGGCCGGGAGTCCCGCCCGCCTTCCCCTCGCCGCGCCGGGGCGCCCCGGGCTGCAGTTACCTTGGTCCGCGGCGGTCCCGGGCTCAGCGCGTCTCTGCGGCTCCCGCTGCGGGGGACCCGGGAAGCCAGAGGCACTGGATTCCACAGGCACCCCCGAGCTCGGAGTCCTGGCCCCTCTCCGGCTGCGGGGACTCGGAGCGCCCGACGCGCGGGAAGCGCTCAGCGGCCGCGGAGTTCCGGCCGCCGGGGATGGTGAGTCCCGCTCGCGGCTCGCGGCTCCCGGCTCCCGGGTTGGGTCTGAACCGGCAAAGGCTGAGAACGTGCTGGGGAGAGACCGAGCTCAGACTCACTCATCCCTTAGCACCGAGCCGCCTACTTATTTTAATCCACCACCCTCCCTCCTCCTTTCTCCCTCCTCCCGGCCTCGGGATTCCACCCCTCCCTCCCCTGCCCCCCAACCCTGCCCCGCGCCTGCGCACTGAGAAACAAAGTTTTGCTGACCCGGGCAGCCGTCTTTGGCAGCTGCGCTCGCTGAGCCCCGGCCTCCCGGGACCTGCGTTCCCAGCTCGTCAGTCCCGTGCGACCCCCTCTGTGTGGTTAGGCCGCCCTCGAGGGCACCCCGATGGCGCTGGGAGAAACAGCCCCTAGCAGATGAGAGCCTGGGTCTCCGGGCGTTCCGAGGTCCTACTCCTGTGCGCCTAGGACACAGCCTGTGCCGAGTGGAGACGGGGTCGCCGGGGATCCCCGCTGGGGCTCAGCACACTCGGGCCCCTGGCAGAGTCTCCTCTTCTCCCAGAATCCCTTCCCAGAGTGGGAGGGTCCCGGGCGTGGAGCAGCCCCTGGACTTCCCAGCGTGCTTAGTCCCAGGACGGTAACCCAGACCTGGGTTATGAAGTTGGGTAGAAAGATCAGAGGCAGAGGCAGAGGCGGAGAGCCAGGGAAAGAGGTTTTTTTGTTGTTGTTGTTTTTTAAAGTTATTTTCCTGGGACCCAGACCGACTGGGATTCCACCCCAATGAACAGTCGCACCCTCTAATCACGCATTCATTTGTTTTGGAAGGATGGATGGGAGTTTGGAAAGCGGCACGAGGCACGTGAGACAAGCTGCAAAGTCGTCAGCTACAGGCCTCCCTCCGAGTCCAAGGAGCTGGGTCAGGTGGAGTTTGGGATCTAGGAGGGTCAGGGTCCTGGCTGGGAGAAATCCTGTTCTCTTGGCTTATGCCTTAGGGAGGGTGCCACTTACCCTCTTGACTGCTCACTGCTAGGAGCTGACCTTCAGCTGACCCCAGCCCTGCCTCCTCCCTGCCACCTCCCTGGAACACCCAGCCTTGGGTTTGGGAGAAGGTGCTGGTTGGGGGGGAGGGCAGGGGTTTTGGGGAGGGGGTTCAGATTCACACACCGCACTCCTGGAGTTTGCCACACCACAGGGTTGTGCTGCTGGGTGCCTCTTCCTCCCCTGGGGGCTGAATCCTGGCGTTAGTGAGTCTGTAGCATATCGGGCTTCTCTGGAGAGGAGCTGCCATGATGCTGAGCTTTGATCTGCTGGTCTGCTCTGATGTGTCTTAGGGTACCACTCCCTGATCTAGGACATAGTTGGAGGAGACCCTTGTCTCGCCAGCAAGCCTTTAGGACAGAGCCTGCCCTCCAGCCCTGAGGTAACTGTGGCTGGAGCAGCAGGAAGAAGTCTTTGCACCAGGGATGGCACTCACGCCCTGCCACAGGTTCATGCTGGAGCCGAGACCCATATACGTGCTTGCTGCTGGAGCTGCCAGTGAGGGGCGGCATTCTGGCCAGGGTGAGGCCCCTTGAGAGCAGAAGGGGGGTGAGATCACTCCCTTCTTGGAGATTGAGAGGCAGCAAGTTCCAAGCGCAGGGGAGGGTCTGGGCTCAGGAGGGCATTCCTGGATTGTCCTGACTTCCACCTGGAGGGAGGGCACTTGCTTGTACCTGTCCTGGGTTCTCCAAGGAGACAAGGCTCTGGGGACCTCGGTTAGCAGTGGCAAAGGAATCCTAGAGGGAGGACTCCACAACAGGGCACCTGGCTGTCCAGACAGAATGTCCCCTAGAAAGAGGATATTCAGGTGGGATGAGCCTCCTGGGGTATACAAATCCCATCTCCTGCTCAAAACACCATACAGGACAATGGTGCTTCCTTCGTCTTCCCACTTGCCTTGTTCTGCATCAGGGCCATGGGCCAACATATCTCCATGACTGATAGGAAACTCAGAGTAGGGATCCCTAAGGAGCTCCTGTAGAGAGAGTCTTCAGGGATTGAATGAAAGGTCCGCGCGACCTGGTTATTTAATAGGGCCTTTGCCAGGGAATCTGGAAAACGGATCCTGATTTAGGTCCAATCCTGGCACTTAGCCCATGTGGGGCAGGAAGGGGAAGCAAGGTTGGGGCTGATCCCTCAGGGCCCAGCATCTTCAGGCCTTTCTTCCCAGAAGAGTCCTGGCTGCCTGGCCTGGGGCTGGTCTGCAGGACAGGAAGAGATTCGCCTGTGTGAGACACCTGGCTTCCACATCGCCCCTCCTGTGTCCCACAGTGCACATCCCCAGAATCCGCGATAACGGAATTCAAGATCTGCTAGTTGCAGAAGTGTTCTCCATCCCCATCCAAGCTCCCAAGGGGATGACCCCCAAACCATGGCCTCAGTGTCCCCTGGAGACCAACCAGGTTCTGGTTCCTGGGATGGCAGGAAGCCCAGGCGCTGAGAAGCACGGTGCTCCCACAGCGGAAACCCTCCCCCGCCTACTTAAGAGAAATCCATCAGGCCCTGGGCAGGAGGTCTAGGTGGCAGCCGGCGCCTGGACTGCGCTGGGAGGGACTGAAGAGGGCAGGACCCAGGACAGGTTAGGGCTATGAGGGTGACGGTTAGTGAAGTCCTATGCGTTTAGGACTCACAAGGACGTCAGGTTTCACATTTGGTAAACGTGGTGTGGAAGTCAGTACAATCCCACCGAGACCCAACCTTTCTAAGGCCGGTGAAGGCAGCAGCGAAAGTCCGGTCTGGACGCCCGTCCCATCTCTGGGCACCCTGCGCGGTGGCTGCAGCCAGCAACCAGCAAGACTGGCGCAAACTCCTACAGGCGCTTTCTTGCGCTCCCGTCCCCAGCCTGCGGGGCGGAACCGCCAGTGTCCGAGGGGTCCTTCTGCCAGGACCTAGCAGCCTAGGGCAAGGGCTCCAGGACCGGGTTACCCCCCCCCCCAAGTGCCCATGGGGTCCCGCAGGGAGAGATCGCCCTGCCCGCCAGAGCCTCTGGGCTACTGACCACACTGCGCCCAGTCCTGAAGGGAGCCCTCGCCTCTGCCTTTTCTTGGGCACATTTGGGGTGCTGACAGCTCTGCGGGTCTCCTCAGCCCCTCTCCTGACTCCTGTTTGCCGGAAGGAAAAGTGCCGCAGCCTGTGTTTGGAGTGAAAATTGAGCAGTTTCCAGAAAATGAACTAGAACATGGTTTACATTGTTTCGGGGTCTTGTGGATTAAAAAGGAACCCCACCTTCCCCCACTTTCTAGCCACACAAAAATGATTTCATTTTTCCAAAAACGGAATGTACTTCGCACTTGCGAGTTGTGTTTTTTTTTCTTCCAACGCAAGCTTTCCCGTGACTGCGCTGCGGACAATTGGGGGTCTGCTCATTAGACCCCCCTTTACGCGCGTCCTGAGGTTTCAAATAACCGGGAGATTTAGGTATCCCTCTGTAATCGTTTACATGATGGATTGTAATGGCTCAATAGTTCCTCTGGAACCATTACGATCAATCAGGTCAAAATCCAGCTTCGGGGGAGAGTTTTGAAGCGCAGGAGGTAGGTAACATGACATCCAGCCGCAGTTGTGCAGATAACACGCCCTGATAACGCGCAAGCAACTCCAGGGTCTTAGGAGGAGAAATCCCAGGTGGACGCAAGAGCCGATGTTTATCCAACAGCGAGACACAAGTTACAGTATCAAAACTGAAAGGGAAAGTGAGCTGTTTTTCCAGGCAGTTCCCGTTTCGTGAGTTCCTTAGGGGCACGCGAGTATCTTGTAACTATTTGGTACCTTAATCCATGTAACCGTGCACACGTCCACACGAATGCGTCTCCCCTCGGTCTATAAGAGTAGGTGTGAAGCACGAATCTGTGAATATGCGCGTGGAACTGCCTGAACTCGGGGCATATACTGTCACCGAGAAAATAAAAGGATAAAGTCTGGTGTTTTGAGGAGCCCATGTCAAATGTGTGTGAAAGGCGTGGCGAGTTTTTACTCTGCACAAATATGAGTTGTCAGAATTACTTTCGATACACAACAGAGCTGTGTTCTAAGATTACTGAACTTTTCCTCTATCCAAAGGTGAACATAAATGTGTTAGACACGGCGCCGGGTCTAACCAAACTGAGGATGATGAAGAAAAGTCCTTTGAACTGAATCGTGTGCAGTTAGGGTGAAACCCAGCGGATAGAACCTTACCACACCCGCGGCGCGAGGTTCTCGAAGGGCTACCTCGGCGGCGGGCGGCGCTGGAAAACTGAGCATTCGCGGTAATTAAACATTTCCAGACACGGGAGGGTTATTATCTGCACAGCGATTTCCGGGCGAGAGGGCTCAGCGAGTTTGGCTGAGATGTTCAATCCAGAGATTCGGGGGCGCAATCCTAAAGAAAACGCGCCACCTGCTGGTGAGCAAGTGACATCTCCAGGGCTCCTTCCTCGACTGGTCTCAAACCCTGTCATCCCTATATAATCTCACCTTAAACAAAACAAAACAAAACAGAACAAAATAAAACAAAACCCCCACCTCTGTCTTTTTTAAGTTACACAGCTCGCCTTTACTCGTGTAAAACTATGCACACCCTTGCCGTTCCAAAGAGTAAACCAAAGAGGAATCCTTTTTCTGTTCTGTTTTCCCTGCTCCAATCCAGATTGATGAGTTTTGGGGGTTTTTTTCTCTCCTCTTCTTTCTCTCTCTCTTTTTAGTCCGATATCCTTAGCAACGCTCTACCACCATTAGTTCTGGTCGTTGGAATAAAGCTGAGCCAGGATCTAACGTGAAACTTTTCTGCACTCTCTGAGCTGGGTGAGAGCCGCCTGCCTGGTAACGCCCACAAGGCTCCTGCCTACTCGCTCCCTCCCAGCTCCCTCCCAGCCGTGGGCTGTCGGTACTGAGCCCCTCCGCGGATTCCCACTGGGCTCTCTGAAGAGCCATAGGGAAGGGCGGGGTCTCCTTCCGGATTTCCCTGGAACGCCTGATGCTTCCTCCCCCTCCTTGCTCCCAGACCATTAGATTCCAGGTCCTTGGCTTTTTTCCTTCCTCGGATTCCCCCAGCGAATATTTTAGCTGGGCCCTCTCTTCTCCTTGGCATCAAAATTGCATTGCTAAAAATTTATTAATTTTTATTCGAGATGTCAT